TAAAACAAATATATAAAGTAAACGTGTCTGATTTTGCTTATTTCGTTAAGTCTGTCCGAAATTACCGAACTCTTTCTAACACGTTGCTCTGATCTGAACTAAAACTTGTCGAGCATATTTGAATTTGTTCCCGAAAGATCGGTTACAGTAAGTTTTGTACCTGAAGAGACAACAGATCCTGTTAATTTCTCAATGACTAGAGCATTCACAAAGCACGGCCCAGCCAAATTTATTCTTTAAGATAATATAAAACTTAACACAGACCGAGAAGGAGGCAGGAGGAACAATCTAATTCCCCACAAACGGATAGAGAACGTTTTTGTAAAGGAAGAACTATTTTACGAACGACTCACTCGGCATGCAAATTGGTCCAAACATAGTATGAGTAAATTTTATATTTCCCGAAGTTGTGAAAATTCATTTCGAAATATGTTGGTGATACGAATATTAATCGAAATACAAGAAAGTTGTATTTATTATCAGATCATCGGTTTATGTGGCGGGCATGAAACTGGCGTGCGAGAATAATTGTATCTTAAGTAATGTAACAAATTAACACAGATGCCATTGTAACATGTAAAACATGAAATAACAGTATGTATATATATCATCATCATCATCATCATCAGTAATCTGTCAAGACGACAGGTCCACAGTCTCTTCCAAAACAATTCCTCCACTTAATGCGATCTAGAGCTTTCTCCTTCAAATGACAGTATCCTCTTCTCTCCCCAAGGTCATCCAGCTTCTTCTTACGTCTTCGTCCTCGTCTTCTTGTCACTTCTATCCGCCCTCTATCTTTCCTTCAATAACTTCTTTTAGAAGGCAGTTTCTGCGTAAAACATGACCAATCCAATTAGCCTTCCGTTTTCTTATTTCGTGTAGGATATTCCTCTGCTCACTGACTCTAATTAACACTTCTTCATTTCTCACATAATCGGTCCAACTGATCTTCTCCATTCTTCTCCAACACCACATTTCGAAACTTTCCAGATGTTTCTGATCTACTGCCCTAAGTGTCCATGTTTCAGCCCCATACAGAGCTATGCTCCAAATGTAGCATTTCACTAGTTTCTTCCTCAAATTTTAGTCCAAATTGCTGGTAAAAAGATTCTTCTTCTTGCTAAATGCAACTTTTGCCATGGCAATCCTGGATTTAATTTCACAAGTACACCTTCCATCATCTGTTAACAAGCTACCCAAATATTTAAAACATTTCACATTCTCCA